CCGATGCATGACAGTGAAAAGTGAAAGTGAAGTCGTTCAGTCGTGTCCAACTCTTAGTGAACCCATGAACTGCAGCCCACCAGGCTCCTCCGTCCATGGGATTTTCCAGGCAAGAGTACTGGAGTGGGGTGCCATTGCCTTTTCCAACATATATAGTAATCTGACTCAAATTGTTTAAACGATAAGGACATGAGTGTTCCCACCTAACCAGAAGTCAGCATGGTAGCAGCATCATTTCTTTGGATCTGTCTTGGTTCTTCCTCTTCTCTGAAGCAGGCCGTCGCCTCTCAAGGTTGTAATGCTAGCTGGTTCCTGTTAAAATGTCAAATTCTTGCAGCTGAGTTTCCTGGAATTACAGTCCTTCCCCCAACTGCTTTGACTGCGTAAACCTTGCTGAAAAAAAAAAGACTTCCCTGTCCCTTGGCACCGTGAACTGTTTTGTTAGCTAGAAAATGTCGCCTTTTAATCGGTATGTGGTTTACTGGTCTCTGGTGTGTAATAAATAGCCCGAGCCCCCGCCCCCTTAGCCCTGGGAAAGGCGCGAGGCTTTGCCAGACTGACTGCCGGGCTGCCCTCTCCTTGGGTTTCTCAATAACTCCTGTGTTGTTTCTACCTGAAGAGCCCACGGGCTGGGCTCGGAACCCCCAGCTGCCGCCAGCGCACCCTCCCCTCTGACGACACGCGCCTGCCTGGCTGAACGCTCCTCTTCTCCAGGGGGAGTTGTTGTTGCTTAGCCGCTAAGTCATGTCCAACTCTTTTGCAACCCCATGGACTGTAACCCACCAGGCTCATGTGTCCGTGGGATTCCCCAGGCAAGAATAACAGAGTGGATTGCCATTTCCTTTTCCAGGGGCTCTTCCTGACCCAGGGATCAAACCCCAATCTCCTGCTTGGCAGGCGGATTCTTTAACCCTGAGCCACTGGGAAGCTCCTCTCTGAGGGAAGACGAAGACAATAAAGAGATGGCATGGACCGAAGATGTCATGGCCAGCGTGCACACGTGTATGTATATCCAGGCCCGCTCAACCAGTACGGAGCAGTCGAGAGTGCAGTACTCGGTCCTGATTCTACCCCCGCCTGGCCCTGTTCTATATTTATTGTCAGGGTTCTCCAGGGAAATGCAGAGATTTATTGTGAAGAACTGACCCACACCATGATGGAGGCTGAGAAATCTTACAGGAGACTGGAGGCCAGGAAAGCCAGTGGTGTGGTTCCAGTCTTGAGTCCAAAGGCCTGAGATTCAGGCAGCCTGGCAGGTGAATCCCTGTCCAAAGGCAGAAGACCTATGGCCCGGCCCAATAGGTAGGCAGGAAGCAAAAGGGGCCAATTTCCTCTACATTTTGCTATATTCAGGCCCTTGGGGGATTGAATGAGGTTCCTAGCCCCCCCTCCCCCGAATAGGGGAGGGTGAACTGCTTTACCTTTTACTGAGTCCATTGATTCAAATGCTAATCTCATCTCAAAACACCCTCCTAGACACACCCAGAAATCATATTGAATCTGGCGCACCTTGGCCGTCAAGTCGACATATAAAATTAACCATCAAAAACATGCATGATGCTTCCCTGGTGGCTAAGGTGGATCAGCAGTAAAGAATCTGCCTATAATGCAAGAGACATGGGTTCAATCCCTGGGTTGGGAAGATCCCTTGGAGGATGGAATAGTTACCCACTCCAGTATTCTTGCCTGGGACATCCCATGGAGAGAGGAGTCCTGCTGGTTACCATCCATGGGGTCACAAAAGAGTCAGACACAACTTAGCCTTTACACACATAAATATGCAGTTTTTTAATGTGTGCATATATACATGTGTGTGTATCAATGTAAAACTATAGATTCTTTAAATATATACATATAAGCAGCTACTTAGCTTAAGCAATTATAGAATATTATAAATATAAGGGATGTTATTCTTTTTCCGATCAAGAGGCGGCTCATATGTCCAAAATCACATGCCTTGTCCAAAGCAGGTGCACAATGAGCTCCTGTTCTGTCTTCCAGTCTAAGGCACTGGCCACACTAGACCCATAGTTTCTCTTCTGTGCCTCTCAGTTCTAACTATGAAATTGAATAGCTTGCATCTGAAATAGCATACATAAAGTTTCCAGGCTCATTTTCAGAAAGCATAGAGCATCCAGTAAGCACCAGATATTTAGAGAACTCTCACAGGTTCAGCAAGGAAACGAGACTCGCATCCAAGCCTCGCTGGATGCTCACTGGCTGCGGAAAGCAGGGGCTTCCAAACCTCCTGTGCAGCTCGGAGGGGGCCAAACAGCCGAGTTTGGGAAAATGGATCACACACAGAAGTGGCTCTCTCCCTGCCAGGTGGGGCCTTCAGACAGCCTTACCATGTCAGGGAGCAGGGGGCTCTGAGGAGTGGGGAACTGCACCATGGAAGGGATGCTGGTGAGCAGAAAGGAAAAGCATATGATGTTGAAGCACTGAGATTTTCATGTCGCTTAAGCCTTGTGAGAAAAATGAAATGCCTCTATCATTCCATGATTGCTTTTAAAATTTAGGTATCCAAAGATAAATATCATATGATACCATTTATATGTAGAATCTAAAAAAAGAAATAGCACAAATGAACTTATATGCAAAACAGAAATGGAGTCACAGATGTAGAAAACAAAATTATGGTTACTAGGAGGTAAGGATGGGAGGGATAAATTAGGGGATTGGGATTGTCATAGACATACCCACTATATACAAAATAGATAACTAATAGGGACCTACTGTGTACTACGGGAACCCTACTCAGTACTTTAATGGCCCTATGGGAAAAGAATCTAAAAACAAGTGGATATGCTTATGTAGAACCAATTCACTTTGCTGTGTATCAGAAACTAACACAACATTGTAAATCAACTGTATTCCAATAAAGATTAATTTTTAAAAAACAAAATAAATAAATTTCAGTGTATAGCCTTTTGGTACTTCTTTCAATGCAGATATATTGAAACAAAATGGGATCCCCTTGTATATACAGCATCGTAACTTGATTTTCTCATGTACTGAAAACCAGATATGCAACCTTCCATGCAACTGCAGGTATATTTTAGGAAGTGGATTAACTCCATCAGTCTGCAGATTCAAACTGTGCCAGTGTTGTAGTCTCACCCAGGCCCAATTGATATTCTCAAGTGAAAATGTCCAAAGATCAGGAAGAATTCAAATTTGCTTAGCACACTCCATGAGTTTAGAGATTTTCATTGTTTCCATGTTGCTGTCTCTGGGGTCTAGAACAAGGCTTGGCATGATACAGTTTCAATAAAATACCTGCTGAATAAAGAAATGAGTAAACCAAGCATTTGACACCCCCTTAAGAGATTGGATTAGACCCTCTGTGTAGTCAGTTAGGAAGCAAAACTCTGCATTTAATAACCAGTGTTTTGAGCAGCTGGTTTCTGGGATAACTGTATATTGCATTTGATCTGCTTTATCCCTTTATTCTGGCATCAGACTCCCCTCATATCAACACCTGCTTTTCTAGAACAACCTAAAGCCCCAGAGCAGGAGTGAGGTTTCCCCCCCGGGCGAGAGGGGCTCATCATTCCTGTTGCGAGAAGTTACCCCTTTTCTACAATATCACATCCTAGCAAACCATTCACACCAGGCTGCATTTGTCGAGAAGATGCTTGAGAACATTTTACGATCCACAACCTAGATTTTATCTCGGTTGCCAATCACTGATGTGGCCGCATGCATGTCATGGGCCCATTGTTGGAGAGCTTATAGCCCCAAGTGTCGCTGACATTTAATATCCTGAAATCATCAGAGGCCCTGAAAACAGAACCTTGGGCAGGCTCTTAGTTTTCTCCCTTGAGCCAGATAAGATCTTCATGATTTACACTAACATTCCTTTGAACATTCAGCTTACAGACTTTTGAGAAGTATGGCATAGCCTTGGAGACCATCTCCAGCACCAGTTTCATGCAACTGACACCATTCCAGCTATTAGGGATTTCAGGTGTCACCTGGCTGAGCCACCACCTGGCTGAAAAATCTTACTCCGAATGGTGCTTCCATCATATTTACACACTGACTCTCAGACGCTGTATTTCACACTAGCGGTGCCTTTCAAAGCCTCAATGCCCTTCCAGGCTGAAGGAAACACAGCCTGGCTCAGGCCCCAGGTGAGCCTCCCTATTGCTGCAAGGGCCACCTCATTTTAGGTGGTATCTGCCCTTTCCTTCTGTGAAAAAAGAAAAGATAGCTTCCTGGCATAAGATGGTGGCGATCCCCAGAGAATGACAGGGGGATCATCTAGAAGGAAAACACATCCGTGGCCTTGTCAGCAACATCATCCCCATCACACCCACACGTGTGTTTCCACGTAGCTATCACAGATCCCGCAGGCCGCAGGGTGTGGCCAAAAAAAAGGACACTCTATAAGGTTTTCAGATCCTGGTATAAAAGCAAGAGCGCAGTCTGGGAGAGCAAGAGACCTGGAAAAAATCCCCCAACAAATATTTATTCAGCATCTATTACACACCAGGGACTACAGGAAGCTCCGTGTTTCAAAGAACTAAAGAAAAGAGTCCATAGTTCAGAGGCTGAGACCACAGGTGAACATCCTCGGAGCACCGCATGGTACGAAGCCGGAGAGGAGTTAAGTGCAGGCTTCTCTGCTAGCTTTTGAGTCCGGGGGATGGTCACAGAAATCATCCCGTGCGAACTGACCATCACGCTGAGGACAAAGGAGGGTGGGGCTGAGGGTGGGGCTGAGTGTAGGTGTTGGTTTGCAGGTGGAGAGGACCATAAACGCAGAAGCCAGAGGACGGGCAGGACCACCACCGCCCCCCCCTGCTCCCCGCCCCCGGCAAGCTCTGGGACAGGTTTACCACACCTCCAGGCCTCAGTTTCCTCATCTGTAAAATGAGTTGGACAAATCCAACTTTTATTTATTTGGGTCACTTTTATTTATTTTGATCACTTTTATTTATTTTTTTGGCCATGCAGCATGTGGGATCTCAGCTGGCTGACCAGGGATTGAACCCAGGTCCCTGCGGTGGAAGGGCGGAGCCTTAACCACTGGACGGCCAAGGAAGTCCCAAATGATCAGTTTTAGGTGCAAGATTATAGGAAATTCTAACGGATAGTCCTCAGGTCCTTCCTTTGAATAATTCACGGGAATGGTTTTGCTCTCTCTCATTCAACATATGATCGCTTGCAGTGTTTACTTTAAAAATTAAAATTAGAATTGCTTTAAGGGACGACGCCGTGGGAGGGACTGGGAATTTAGGACCTACCTAAAACAACAAACAAATCTGAAGTTATTTATCAGAGTGTAGAACGTGTTGTTTATATAAGGAAATTACATTTTTAAAACGTTGTTTAGCTTTATAGATGGGGGCATTCTGCCAAATAATCAGCCAAAAAAAAAGTTGGTAAAGTGACTCTGGGGGAAAAAAGCCTTATACAAATTCCAGGACATTCTGATGCAAATTAGAAAATGTTGTCTGGTGGGTTATCTGTTGGGTGGTTTGCTGTGTATGTCAATTTTCGGAAGACACAACCTTGACTTAGGAAAAAAAATCTGGAAAATGTATCAAAGAGACAGCAGAAAGGGCCAAAACCTACCAAAGCTGAAATTACCGTGGGGCTCGAGGTTGGGGGAGAGGAGTGGATTTGTGCCATTTCTTGGAATTATTCCTCAGCGTCTCATTTCGTTTTTACATTTCTTTTTTCCCTTCCCCATCACAAGACTTTTCACAGGTTTCAGAAGTAGGGGAAGTCCAAGAAAGAGAGTCAGACACATGGAAATCAGGTGTACAGAGGACCGATGGCATAAACGGAGGTGTGTAAAGGAGAATTGAGTAAAAAGGGCAGTTTGGGAAAGGAGGGAGATTAGGATTGTGGCTGGAATACCAAAATATTAATACTGAAAAAAAGACTAAAATACTGTGGGTTTTGTGGTTTTTTAAATAAGTTTTTTTCTTTTTTTTTTGCCTAAAAATAGAACAGAGGTGTGGATATGAGTGCCTGGGATAGAGTTCACGGTCATCCACAGAAGAATGAATAAAGAAGATGTGGTGTATGTAGACAATGGGATACTACTCAGCCATTAAAAATGATGAGATCTTGCCATATGGGACGACACCAAAGGGTATTATGCTGAGAGAAATGTCAGGCAGAGACAAATACCATATGATTTCACTTATATGTGGACTCTAAACATGAAACAAATGAATGCACACAACCTAACAGAAACAGAGTTACAGATACAGAGAACGAACAGGTAGTTACCGGAAGGGAGTGGGTTCGGGGAGGAAAGACAGAGGTGACGGAGACGAAGAGGCAAAAAATTCCAGTTACAAGATAAACGAATCAAGAGGATGAAAGGTACATTTGGGGAATTATTTAAAAAAAAAAAAAAAAGGAAAGAAATAGAGCCAGGATGTGGCTAGGAGTGCCACAGCGGGAGTCCTGGTAAGAACATGGCAGACACACATGGCAGGGGACGGTCACCCCTGGGCTGGGGAAATCTGTATTTCCAGAGTGCTGAGTTGCACTTGGCGTTTTTATGCTTGGATCTGGGGTGCTTTTATAGGAAGTGTACATGTTTATCACTAGGATTTGTCAACTGTAAATCTTATGGTTTCTCTTGGCGTCCCCTATGGGAAGGCACACCATCCTTCCCTTGTTCCCGTGTATATAGATGTGTGTTTCTATTCCCCCTGAGGTCTCAGGAGGCCAGTGGGAGGGGGCGATTACCCCTGCTTCCTCAGACCATGTTCCAAAGGTTTTCTCAGGGCCTAACTCCTTCTCAATGGAAGTTAAACATTTCTTGTCCTAACTTACTCTTGACCTGCTGGAAACGTGTTCCGGCAAGGTGTTAGGTCTCAGTAAGTGAGTTTAAAAAAAAACCCTTGAAATTCCTGAATTTACACACCCAGATGCCCTGTATATTTCCTGATTTTTATTCTGAAGGACTCTCCTTGCCCGAAGCTCTTGACTTGGTACCTAAGGAAGAGGCAGATGGTAGGGATTTAAAGCATATTATTTCCTGAGAATCAAGTTCTTATCCTTGATCTCCTGCAAAAGAACTTCATACATATGAATCGTCCTTATCATGATTCCACATGGCAAAAAAAAAAAAAATGTCTGTCTAGTAAAAGTGCCTATGTTAGCAATTTCACATTTCATGAAATGTGACAGTTAAATTCAGTCATAGTTAAATTCAGTTTAGTTAATTAATTTAATTAGTTAATTAAACAGAAATAGTTAAATCTGTTCTGTCTGGGTCTGTTTTCTTGTGGCCAAAGGAATAAGAATATTGTGGGTTTCTTACTGGTTAAATCCTGTGGCCATTTCTCAGTCCTAGACATGTTTCCCATGAACAAGATTTATTTATTTCCAAAGGATCAGCCTTTTTTCCTCCCAGAATACCCACCACTAACGAAGTCACTGTCCAGCTTAAATCCCCTTGTGCTTTGCTCGTTTTAAAGAGCTTGGAGCTAAATTCTCCAGCCTTATTGTTTCAAGCCTCTTCTGTTCATCGCTTTAGAGAAAGAGACGCAGGCAGCTGAAATAACACACACAAGGCAGCTACAAAAGCACCGAAACCTCAAAATTTATTTATGTTGTATTGACAGTTTCTGGAAACAAAACTTACTCGTAACTTTCCCGATGAACTTGTTCTATTTGTTATTTCATTTTTCCAGAATTCTGGTTGTGAACCACTGCATTGATTTCAGAGCCCCACGCATGGTTCAAATCCCACAGCTTGAAAGTGTGGATCTATCGGCTCCTGACTCCCTTAAAATGACCCCAAAAGCTGCCACGTCCTCCTAATTCCTTGATGCTCAGAGTAGATGCGGTACTGAAACTTCCTCTGAACCACAGGGCTCTTCTTCCAAGGAGACCCCTCTCCAGCTCTAGACTGGAATAAACTCTTAGATAGATGAGTAGATAGGATGCCTGAGGCCACTCGAGCATCTCTTAGGCTCATGTGGAGTAGATTACATCCCAAAAGAAGGGTATATGACTTCATTCCCGTGTGGGAGACACATTACCCCAAAGATGATAAATAATCTTCCAGTACTTCTTCAGACCAGCTGCAAGAGTCTGGATGATACTTGACTGAGGCTGGAGAAAAAGTCTGTGGTCATTGAACTGGAGAAGTTATCTGGACTTTTGGAGGTCATGCTCCATCCTACAGATGTGAGCAGCCCAGAAAAGTGTGTGTACACTAATGGCCCCCACCCAACTAATTCACTGCCAGTACTCTGACTAGACATGTCAGAGTCACACTGCCTGACTGTTGCTACGTAGGCAGGTTCGTGTTGGAGACGTCTTCAGAGTTCAAGGCTGTCAAAGGATTCAAGGATGTGTCCATGAACTAGAATACTGTTTAGATGGCAGTAGGGTTTCTGAGGTGGCCCGATGGGTAAAGAATCCACCTGCAGTGCAGGAGACTCAGGTTCGACCCCAGGGTTGGGAAGATCCCCTGGAGGAGGGTATGGCAACCACTCCAGTATTCTTGCCTGCAGAATCCCATGGACAGAGAGCCTGGCGGGGTACAGTCCATAGAGCCGCACAGAGTCAGACACAACAAAGCAGCCAAACACAGCACGGAAGCCTTCTCCAGGTCGATCTTCAGATTCAGCTCAGTCCCTACCTAATCTAAGCCAACTTTCTTTTGCAGAAATCGTCAAACGGATCCTAATACAAAGGGCTCCAGATAACCAACACAATCTAGAGAAGAGAAGGAAGTGGGAGGAGCCTCATATGTCACAATTGCACAACTTGCTATAAAGCTACAGTGATCAAGAGGGTCTGATCTGCCATACTTGTCAGTGAGTCCAGAAATACACCCATGCATGAAGGGGCAATTGATTTTCAGTAAGTGTGCCAAGACAATTCAATGGGAAAAAAGTAGCCTTTTCAGCAAATGGTCCTATGACAACCGGCCATCCACCTGCAAAGGGATGAATTTGAGCCTCAGCCTCCCACCACATGTAAAAATTAATTCAAAAACGATCAAGTACCTAAGTGTAAGGGCTAACACTATAAAGTTCTTAGAAGGATACATACACAAACATCTTCCTGATATTTGCCCGGCATAAGGCAATGGTTTCTTTCCACCCGCTACATGCCATTCCCAAAACAGTGTGGTTGACCTTAAAAGCTCCTGCTTCATAGGCTCTGAAGATTTGTTTCGTAGTCAGTGCATCCTTACTCTTATTACAGTTCAGAGCTCCAGATGCCAGCTTGCAAATGCAGCTAATGGGGTAGCTGAATGTTTGCGCGCCTGCTTGGATAATGCACATGTGTAAACGGTGTTCATTGCCACTCACACAATCCGGATCAGTCTATTCCAAGTTTGGACTCCTAGCAGAAAACAAAATCCTGTACATGGTTCAGTTTGGGAGGGGAAGCAGCTTGTCACTAGGAAGGGCCATTTCCCCGGGTGAACCCAGATCTGTATAGTCACGAGGGTCTTGAAACTGTTTTAAATATAGCCTGGAGGATTTTCTACCTTCACAAACAGAAATGAAATTGTGTTTCAAGAACCACAGAACCACCAAGACCAGATGGTATGAAAGTTCAGAGACTCTGAAAAAGGAATTAAAAAAAAGAGAATCCTTCCCAAGGGAGTATGTATGCTGGTGGGGTGAGGGAGGAGGGGTGGGGGGAGGCTTTTCCGAAAGGCAAACACATCGCAGCAGCATCTGTTGGGGTTGAGTGCTGAGAAAGCCCATTTTCTAGATTTTTCAACAGTTACTGTGGTTGCAGCAGGAGCTGTCTGAAAGCAACGATCGAGAGCTCTCAACACAATCCTAGCTCCAGCATTTGCTGAAATATGCTGCAAATTATTATATGAATCAACTAAAATGTGTTGAGTGTTTGCTGTGTACTAAACGATGTTCCTCCAAGAATATCATCTTGGAATACAAGCATTAATTCCAAGTTAATTCAAGAGTTACTTGTATTAGCTCACGTAATCCTTACAGCCACCTTATGAGATGGATCAAAATAGATCTAACAGATAGTTTACTAAAAAGTAAACTGAGACCCATAGAAGTTACATAATGTACCTAATTCACAGAGCTACTTACTAGGGTTTGGGCTCTGGCCATCTGACTCCCAAAGTCTGGGTGTTTAACCATCCTTTTCTTTTGCCAAACAGCCCAAATAAAACCGCAAAAATAAAATTGTCCGTTCCTGGGTATATTTGTTTTCTGAGGCTGCTGTCACAAATGATCATATATTCCATGGTTTAAAACACCACCAATTTATTGTCTTACAGTTTGAGAGGTCAGAAGTCAGACATAGATCTTCTGGGTCAGATTACATTGATGGCAGAGCTGCACCATTTTGGTGGCTCCAGGGGAGATTTTCTTCCCTAACCTTTTACAGTTTCTGGAGACTGCCTGCATTCTCAGGCTTGTGGCCCCTTCCTCCATTTTTAAAATGCATTACTTGAGTCAGTTTTTGCTCTTGTTGTCACATCTCCCTTCACTTTATGCATCCTGCCTTCCCCTTACAAGAATCAAAGGGATTGCATTGGGTCCACTTGATAAGCCCTTGTCTTCTGAAACACCCTCCACCCTCCACCCCCTCTCTGCCACTTCCATGGAAATCAGTAACCCTCTTACTATTTATTATAAACTATCTCACACTCATGAATTAATTCTACATGTATTTAAGCACTCCCTGGTTTCTCAGAGGTAAAGAATCTTCTTGCCAATGCAGGAGACGTAGGTTCAAGCCCTGGGTAGGGAAGATCCTCTGGAGAAGGAAATGGCAACTCATTCCAGTATTCTTGCCTGAAGAGTCCCATGGACAGAGGAGCCTGGGGGGGCTACAGTCCATGGGGTCGCAAAGAGTCAGACATGACTGAGCGACTAAACAACAGCAACAACAATGGATAAGGAGATGCTTGAAAGCAAGCATCTTGGCATGCTCTGTACCCGTAATGTACTCTGCAATGTACTCATTGCAAATACAGGTTAAGTGAGCTGGAATACCTTTTAAATACTGTAGACTTCAACTAGGCAGCAAAATACTAAAACCCCAAAGCTCTGTTGCAGCCAATTCAGAGCAGTGTGTCCTAGGGACGCGTTTCAGCCAACATAATCATGAGCAAGCCGTCCCCTGGCTCCTCTGAGTCTAATTAGCCACAAGCCCAGCTGGGTGCTAAAACACTGCAAGAAAAATAACTGCGGACGATACCTTCATAGCAACAGGTTAAGACTGGTGATTTATGACTCTTGGCAGGAACAACTGGCCCTATGCCCGGGGACACCGTAGTGACAGCCAGTGGACCCATTGGTGACCCTGCACCCCAACCTATCCTACTGTGAGGACAAAGCTCCAGGGTCACCCATGGATCTGGATTTGTGTAAAGGGAATGATCAAAAAACTCCAGAGATGAACTGTAACAACAAGGGGCACCTCTTGGGAGAAACCCAGAGTTAAATCAACACTTTGCGATTTTGCCTTTGAACCTCGACTCCCCAGTCTTCTGCCCAGTGTAGACGCCTGCCAAGTGTCTAGTGCCTGCCTGCTGATCCCAGCTGTTTCTTCCTAGAGGCCGCCTGGCAACCATTCAAATCTTGGATTCTTTTCTTTTAAAGGCTATCAGTCTCCCTCTTTTTCTCGGGGCCGTGGAAGGGGACGGGACAGCATATCCTGATAAAAGTATCCACGCTAACGTGTTCACGGTTAAATGCATTCCCTTCCAAAGGCCTTTTGCATCTTAAATCCTGGCTTCTTGGCTCTACTTTCACCCAAAGAAGTGAATCTTTAATGGATATTTATTTTCCAGGAAGAATGGATTGGAAGTGGGGAGCTTTGGCATTTCTTAAGAATTCACTTTGAGGTAAACATTCCTATAAAGTCAGGTCTCTCTTGCTGGCAAACTGTGAGGTGTATGTTGGGAGAAATATAGAGGCTGTTATCAAGCTGATCTTCAGGGTATATGAGCAATTATAGGCTTGGGAACCAACAGACAAGTGAGGGAGTTGGAGAGGAAAGTGTGTTTTTAAACAATAATATAGCTAGTTTGTAACAGAAAGGGTCTTGTCCAAACTGCTAGAGCATTTAATAAGTTCTTCTCTAGAGTAATACATTCCTCAGTGCTTTTTAGATCACTAACTGTAACATATATATAAATGTTTAGAAAACTTACTGTGATGGAAATGAAAATGGTACACTCACTTTTGGATGTTGCAGCTCCTTATGAAACTAAACATATTCCTATCATACATGCCTGCTCAGTTGAGTCTGACTTTTTGTGACCCCACCAGGCTCCTCTGCCCATGGGATTCTCCAGGATGCCATTTCCTACTCCAGGGGATCGTCCCGACCCAGGGATCGAACCAGCAACTCTTGCTTCTCCTGCATTGATTCTTTACCACTGCGCCACCATCCAGCAGTGACAGTCCCTGGTATTTAGCCGAATGACCACAATGTCCACAAAACCCTGCACAGAGATGTCTATGACAGTTTTATTCATAATTGCCAGAACTTGGAAGATATCATTTAGTAGGTGAATGGATAAATAAACTGTGGTGCATCAGACAATGAGATAATATTCTGAGCCAAAAAAAAAAAAAAAGTGAATTATCAAGCCATGAAAACACATGGAGGAAACTTAAATGCATATTATTACATGGAGGAAGCCAATGTGAAGAGGCTGTGTACACACCATATGATTCCAAACCTATGTTGATGTTCTGGAAAAGGGGAAATGGTGGAGACTAAAAATATCAGTGTTTGCAGGTGAGGTGATGGTGGACGGAGAAGTAGGTGAGCCACAGAGAATTTCAGGGCAGTAAAACTACCCTATGTGATACAACACCAAGGGGACCCTTGAATTCAATGCAAATTACATTGGGTGATGAGGACATGTCAACGTAGGTTCATCAGTTGTAGCAAATGTCCCATCTGGTGGGGATGCTGATAATGAGGAGACTGGAGTGGGTGGGGGGATGCAGAGGGGAGATGGAAAATCTCTGTGTCTTCCTTTCAGTTTTACTGTGAACCTAGAACTGCCCTTTCAAAAAAGAAGTCTTTCTGACTTCCTATTTTGCAGAGTAAGTCAGATGGGCAGGTATTGGATGACTCCACTCACCGCTCTTGCCATCCCATCTTGGAGGAGGTGCCTCATAGATGCCCCCTGGTACCCTGGGGGAGGGTTTGAACTTCCCAGATATGCAACCATAAAAATACCCTCTCCACCCAGGTAACAGGGACTCTCTCAGTCACTCTAGCATGACAAACCAAAGGCGAGGGTCAACTTTCTGTTATTGTTCAAAGACTGGCTAATTGGTTTGCCTGTTTTAATTATTCTGAAATAGTTCTGCTGCCTATAACTAACACTGATACGTTATTTCTTACCTTATTCTGTCCCACCCCACATTAATTTTAGTTAGGAGTAGTTAAGCCTATATTCTTGAGCTTATGTTTTTAAGAGTGATTCTTTAGCAGGCATGAATCTTTTGAAACCCACAAGAAATGCCAGGACCAAGGCTGGGTGATGAGACTTAGAAGCTCTAACACAGTAGAACAGTGTCTGGTGTTCTTGCTCCCATTGCAGTGTGTGTAGTAAGTGTTACTTAACTGCCGCTTGGCGGTCAGCAAATGAGGTGACCAAGGGCCTCCGGCTGCCCACTATGCAGCTGCCTGCCAGATTTCAGCGAAGCTGGAGACCATCTGAGGTTGCTTGGGTGTGGCTCTCCCTCAGGAAGCTGGGGATCAATTCTCAGCCAGATGGCCTTCAGGGTAATCTGAGGATGGGGGTAAGGAGGCAGGGGAGGTGTATG